ATAAATTACACCTTCCAACCAAATAAATATCCCCTTCCTCATAATAATAAAAACTATTAATAACAACTAATCCAATAAATCTTCAATCAATAATTAAATTCATTTAAATAAAAAATATGTTAACAAACAATCATATTGTGTTTCAAAATATAATATTACAATAGCAATTTTCCTTTGCAACAGCCACTATATCAAACAATAATGCAAACAATTAATGATTATGATTCTGTTGACTAATATTATTACGATTGATTGATCAATTGGTTCGAGAAAAATTTCAATTTGAGAATAATTATAGAAAACAATTACTGCTATTATTTGGAAATTTTCTAAAAATTAATTCTTTACCTTATTGTTGACTTTATTCTCTGAACAAATCACAATTGATAACAATGTCTAATGGGAAATGGATTTATGTCATTTTCATGATTTTGATGATAACATCGGAAGTTCGGGGGATAAATCAAATGACAGAAGATATATCTCTTTCAAAGTATCCGCCGTCAAATGATGAAAGTATTGAATTGTTTTTTGATGGGAAAATGAATGAATTTGATTTGCTAATCATAAAATGTTTCTTGAAAAACTAAAAAACAAGAAAATCTGTGACAACGAACTTCGTTCATATATAGATTTAAACACAACAGTAGAATTATATCTATTGGCAATGGGAAAAACAAAAAAACGAGTACTATTGATTACGAAGAGTTTATTTGTATATGATGTTCCAGTAGATTGCTTCGATTCGGTCAGAAATACAGTGCATTTGAAATATATACCAACACCATTGGTGGATAAATATCCGGTTCTTTATCATGATTCCCTTTTTCAAAGTATCAAAAATAAAATCAATGCATGGATTACGTATGATAGTGATGGTGATTGGATTTGTATGACTACTAATGACAGTAAACAAGGAATCAACTATAATATCGATACATCAAAAATACATAAAGGATTCGTTTTAAGTGGAGAATGGCCAGAAACATTGATAGCAACCCAAGAACCATGCAAATTCTATTCCATACAAAGAAGAAAAGATAAGGTAAATACAATTCTGGGTAAGGGTTCGGATCTTTGGCTTACTGCTTACAAATGCAAAAATGGTGATCGCATAATCCACTCGGATGGAATAGACAAAGTGAGAGATTTTAAACTTCTTTGTTTTGATGAAATAGATGTTTTGATGATAAATGGAAAAAAGTGTGACAGTGAACGTGGAGTACAATGGCCATTTGGGACCGGTTTCGTGAGTGATGAAAAATTTTTTATAATCGGTCTTTATATTTATGTATTAAGCGAGAATGTTTTTAATCAAGTAGGAAAAGTTTTTCCTGTGGAAGAAGTTTCTCCATTTCATTTCTTCAATTGTGGTGGTATTATTCCGCCCAATAAAGTAATTTCCAAAGCATGTGAGTATCGGATAAATTGTTGTTGAAATCAATTAATTTGCTTTGTAGATTTTTATTGGATAATTGCAGCAATCATATTATTAATGATGTTATTAGCAATAATAATAATCAGTGTATTTGTTGCACATCGATCATTGGCCAACAGAAAAAAGACACTTTCCGGTTTGGAGAGATCAAGCAAAATCACTTTATCCAAATCGTCAATAAAAGTTGCTACTAAACGAAGTCTCAAAAGTAAAAGCAAAAGTAAGACTTCCAGAATTAAAAGTTCCAGTACAAAAAATAACAGCAAATCTGGACTGGTTGGTAGTAGAACATCGCTATCCGGAAGATCAAAAAAAGCAACCTCTCCTGGCAGCCGAACTTCTCTATTTCGAAAATCAAAAAAGGCAATTTCACCTGACAGCCGAACATCACTATCTCGAAAATCAAAAAAGGCAATTTCACC